TGGTAGTAACTTTTTAAAATCATTAGTAAACATATTCTTGTCACCAAGAGTTGTGCTCAAAGTGTGGATGAAAGCTTAGTGATAGAATGGTGTATATCCTATGCTAACAGTTGCTAATAGAACGCTTACCATTCTGGAATGTTCATTTTTAATAGAGAAACATTGGCTATATTTCTTTGTTTTACGAAAACATGGCCGACTATCCGCGGCTTTTGCCATTTTTCCCCCGCTCCAATAGGCTTTATGTGTCCCCCCAGTCATGGAGATTATGATAAGGCTTTACGACTTTGGCTGTCCAGTAGCTGGCTGGATTAAAAGCTTTTTGCGGCTGGGATATGGGATGTTGGGGGATGCCAGGGAGGGGCAAAGGACTGAAATATAGGGTTAGTGTAGAGCTCTAGGCAAGGTAAACAAACAAATTTAGTTATGACCAACAAAGTTGCAAGGCCCCTTTGCTTTACGGCTCGGCCAATTAGCTGGACGAGGATGCTGACCTTAATTACACGTGCACTTTTAGTGCAACCAGTGTGCAGTCCCCGTACTCTTTTTTTCCCCCATTTGTTGCAGTTTAGCCCATAATCTGGACATATGTATATATACATGTGGTGCATATACATGTGTAGCTGCACCCACATAACCATAAATGTAAAATGCCACGGGTATGCCATGCCATTCCATTTTTGTTGCCACATTTTTTTTTTTTTTTTTTTTGTGTTTCACTCAGCTGGCTACACTTTACACACTTTGTTGGCTCCGTGTCCGGGTCTAAATGCTGCTGCCGGATGGTTAATATTATTTTATAATTTCGTTTTATTACTCCTACTCTGCCGCAGAGCGTTGTAAACATGTTGTCCGGAATGGTCGCGAACTGGTTAGTCCGGAACCCCCGATTCCCAATCCCCGGAACCTGGGTGCCATTTGGGTAGTCAAAGTGTGCCATTAAATGTATAAGCAGGCAATGAGGGGCCAAGCGTTAAATGCCGAGCGGGGATTCTGATGGTCAGAGGTGGGAGGGCATTTAACCCGACCCCCTCTGAACACCTTAAAAGCATAAAAACCAATGCTAAGATCGCTTAAAGTTTTTGCTAGCCAAGAAACATATTCTTGCAAATTTATTGAGCGCAAAAATGCTTTACCTTTGGAGAAAAATCAAAACAACAAGTAAGCCAAACGTAAAAAGTGGTTTGCATATTACAGCTTATGGATGTGCACTTGCATAGCACTTTGCCTTTGTTGCTTTCACACACTCTTGATCAATCTATACCCTTTGGATTTGTTATTCCCTCGAATGGTTTTGTGTAGCTTTAGTCTCAGAGCTTACTGATGTGAAAACCAGTGAAATGAACAAGCTTTTATATGTTTTTCTATCAGCATCTGTATGACATTTGTCTCTTTGTTCTTTCTTTAATAGTTTCTAGAATAAACACCTACAAATGTGGTCTTTTTCACTTGTATCCAATGCCTATGGGACTAAAAATCTTTAAAAAATATGTAAATATGATACAAAAGCTATCAATTTGTTTCCAATTAGAAGATTTCTTTGGCTTAAATTGGGCATTACTTCGCTTTAAAACAAGAAGCTTATTAAGAAAAGTGAACACAAAGACCTGGATGTTTATTTTTATATTTTTCATTTCCCAGAAAAAATAAATACAATTTGTTGCCTACTTTGCGGCGACACTGCAAATTTCGTCTTTCATCAATCGCCTTGCCTATCCAATATTGACATTTATTGAAGGCGCAATTCCATTGACATAATTCAAATAGGCAACAACGTGCCACGCAATTCAAAAGCGACAAAATGTAAATTGCCTCACAGGCGGCGAGTGAGAGGGGGATTACGTGCCGAGCGAGAAGACAAATCAATTTGAAGGAATACAATTTTGGAGACCAGGAATAGTAGGAGTAGTGGACGAAATGATAATGAAGGCACCACATTTTTGGCTCCATTGTGCGAGTGACAATGGGCCAAAGATAAAAATGACAGCCACAAGCTGGCAGCTAAGTCGGGATGAGATCTCCACGGGGACTGGGCATGGGAATGGGACTATATTTTTGGAATGGCACTGTGTCTATTGTCTCAGGATGGCCGCTGGACTTTCCGTTGCCGGAATGGGTAATGCACACATTGTGGCAAAGAGTTTAAGCAGCTGTTGTCTGGCCGGCGTCTAACTGTCAGACTGCGGCTTATCGCCAGCGTTTTGACAATTTTCCGACTTTCCCAGTTGGCTTTTTTCGCCATTTCGCTGTGGCGGCTGCCAGTTTAATTATGACATTTAATTTCGAGTTCATTGTCGGCAAATCTCTGGCTGCGCACAAAAGCATGCAACAGTTTTTTTTGCCATTGCTGCACAAGCGGAAGTACATTTGTCGTCGGCTGCACAAACCGGAAGTTGTAGCACACATGTACACATCACATAATCAATGTCTGTGTATGTATGCCACAAATAATTTACCCAAAAAACATTTAGGAAAATCAGAAAATACCATTGTTTGCTTTAAAGTTCTTTAAAATTTTGCAGGGCATTAAATTATTTATACTTATTATTATCTTTAATATACAAAGAAACCACTTCAATTCAGATTATGCCAAATGAAGAACACTAAGTACAAACTTGATAAGTAAAGAGCATTAATAGCACAATACATTATCTCGTTTGACTGCTCGGGGAACCATTAGATCGGAGCTGTGTCGAATAATGAAGCCATTTTCGGCTAGGGTGCCGATTTAAGATGCCATTTATGAAACATGTGCCGGCATTTATGCATATTAAATTAGTCAGCTTAGGCAAATAAACAGGCCAGCGGACCACCGAACCCTTTTTTATGGTCCCGAGAACTGCGTCATATTTCCACACACATTTTGCTTAATATTCAGAGGTTCAGCTGGCCCCAAAAAAAGAAAGAAAAAAGCGACCACATTCGAGCGGCAGAAGGAAGGGTTCCATATAATAGTTGTTTGGGGCAACTTAAAAACGCATGTTGGAACTTTTCAAGTGTGAATTGCTCTTCATTTTTGCAGCAGACAGAACCCCGATGGAAAAACTGGGCGAGCTGAAAGGAACTGAACTGAAAAGGCATTCGTTGCCTACTTTTCCCAGGCCCCGTAACCCTACGAAAATGGTGGTATCTATATATGTATGTTTGGTGGGGCTGTGGGTGTGGGACGCAGTTGTAACAAAAAGAAACATAAAATAAAATGGCAACGGCAGAAATGTTTTATAAAAATTTATATGAGCATAATTTGTAACCGCAGAAAAAAAAAAGAAAAACGCACACGCAGAAGGAAAAGATGGAAAAAGAGATGTTAAAACGACGCCTCCTACGGGGCGTATGAGTGTTTTTGCGGGTGGAGGCGGTGGGCGTGGTCCTGTCAGACAATGGAAACTGAAAACGGTCTGCAGATGTAGAAAATGAACATATTTTCGGCTGTAGAGCAGCTCGATTTGAATTGCCAGCCATGCTGCGAAACTGTGGGTATTTTTATGGAAAGAAAACATCCCTAGAAAATGAGCACCGAAAAATTTAAGAAATTCTTTGCAAATATCTAACACATAATGCAAAGTGCTAGTCGTAGATTTCTCATTTCGAGTTCATTTTGATGTGTATTTTAGCTTGATTCTCCTGTAGAGAAATTAAAAGTATCCAAGAAAATATAGATTTAGGTTTACAAAGTTTTGAGAAGCTAACATTTTATCACAGAAATAAAACATTTTGAAGCCAATTTTTCAACAAGATAGCAAGCAATAAACAAATTTTTCATTGATAAAGTTGGTTTTCGTTTTTCCACCCAGAAAATCATGAGTTCCAGGAAATCTAGGCCAACTTTTGATGTTAAATTAAATGCCAATACAATAAACTAGAAATAATTTTAGTTTACTTAAGTTTGCTGGTATTGAAAAAATTTTTTGGTTACTCTGTGGAAGGAAAGTGATCAACAGTAATTAAAGAGGCATTTGCAACCAATACTGTAGTTACTGTTTATCGGGATTCCCCCCCATTTTCCCCAACTTTTTTGCCTGCTTTTGCAGATTTTCCAACTTTTGGCATGTGGCACACAATTAAGATGCAAATTGTTTTTGCACAAAATCAAATTTCCTTTCTCCGGCAAACAACAACAGGCATATCAGTTTGCCACTTGCCGAACTCTTTTCGCTTTGCTATCTCTTTGTAGTTGTTGTTGCTAAGTGACAGATACAACAAACACAACAGGAGGGGCAACAACAACAACAGCAGCAACAATTGGGGGAAAATGCTTAAATGTCGTTCAAGTTTGCGAGTTAAGTGCACTACGTATGCAATCGACACATGTGTGCAACAAAACTCGTTAACACTTGAAAAGTTTCATGGGCCCGAAGGCAAGTCGGGAAATTCTGGGCTCACTGCACACACACACACACAGATACTAAAAAGGACGAAAGGACGTGTCCCCTGTGTGTGTGTGTGTGTAAGAGAGCAAAGTAATGCTGCTGAAAAAACACTTAAGCAGAATGTTGTATATATTCTGTAACCAAGTGAGGCGCAGAGTTCAGTTTGCCTCCATTTAGTTCGTTAGATAAATCTTTGCAACAGTGATAGAGTCTGAGTGTGTGCGTTAGCCAGTAGCTGAGTGTGCGTGTGTGTGTGTTGGCCCTTGGACATCTTGTAATCGTTGGGTTTGAGACCCCATTGACAAGGAGATGATGCCGGGAAACAGCGCCTGGAATGCAAAACGCAGGCCCGCTCAAAGAAACTCACTGCAAATTGCTTAAAAGGATCAGTTAGCATTGGGCAATGCCTTTTAGGGGTCCTTAAGGACTTCATTTCTTGAAAACAGAATGGTAATTAAATAATCTGGGAAGAAGGAAGTTGTGCTAGATAAGCCACTATAAATTAGGGAGTCCTTAAAAAAGGCAGAATACACTGTGAGTTAAAAAGGACATTACAATAAATAGAAACATCTTTTTGAAAGATTTTTTTAAATGTCTGTTTATTCTTAGATTCTTAAAATTCTTGTAACCTTTGATTATTCTGACTATCCAATGTAATATCAAAATTCCAAAAAAAATGTTACACTATTAGTTTAAAAATTCTAAAGTAGGTCAGATGACGGTGCGGTTGGCCCACAGGGGGCGGAGTATCCTCTCTGAACTGGCGAAGTGTGCCACGCCCACAGCCGCCCGGTTTCTGCATCGACACCCCACCGAGATGACCTTGCTCGAAATGCTGGGCTCCACCAATCTGCGCAGGAGTACGCCCGAGGACTACCGCATCCTGCGCGAGATCGTCAAGTCCTTTGAGCGCTATTCCGGGGTGGGCAACGATATCCAGTTGACCCTGCCGGAGCGCTCCGCCAATGAGCTAATCATGAGCGAGAAGAAGCGGGAGTACGAGAAGGGCATCATGGACCCTTCCAAGTTCGCGCCGGGTCACCACATCTTCCAGGTGCTGCACACGGTCAAGCAGTCGCCGCTCTTCCAGATCCTTCGGAAAATGCCCAAGGGAGCCGCACTCAAGACGCACGACACCTCCATGTGCAGTTCACGGGCGGTGATCGAGATGACCTACAGGGAGAACCTGTGGGTCTGCACCACCCACAAGGGCTGCCGGGTGGTGGAGTTCCGTTTCGCCAAGGAAAAGCCCAAGGACTTGCGGCACGAGGATGGCGAGTGGCAGCCGATGGAGAAGCTTCGCGAGCTGCGGGGAGAGGAAAATCTGAGGAAGTACCTCCGGGTCCGCCTCAGCATGTATCCCTTGGCCAGCTTCACGACCAATGCCCTCGCTTGGCGCCACATGATGGGCATCTTTAACCTGCTGGACGGCCTGCTACAGTACGCCCCCCTATGGGGTGACTACTACTACAATGCCCTCAAGGAGTTCTATGCCGACGGAGTGCAGTATCTGGAGGTGAGATCCGTGGTCCCGGAACTCTACTGTCTGGATGGCAGCCGGTTGCCCAAGCGCGAAACTGTGCAAATCTACATGGACTCTCTGAAGCGATTCAAACAGGAGCACCCGGGATTCATCGATTCCAAGCTGATATATGCCCCCATTCGACATGTCCAGCCGGAAGTGGTGGGCCAATATGTCAAGGAGTGCACCGAACTGAATGTGAGTTCTTATCTTTAAGAATTTATTCTTTAAGTATTTATTCGACTGCCAGACAAATACCTAGATAAGATAGATAATTACAACCAATTTTAATAGCAATTATAATTTACTTGTATGGTTTTCCGACAGCTTAGATTAAAGTGCATTATTGTGGCTATTATTCTGCTCATATGAGCACGCAGCACTTAACCGATCCGAACAAAGACATATATTACAAGGCAAGATGCCTGTTTCGGTTCAGATAACAAATGGCCCTAAATAGTAGAGAGCAATTTGGTCGCTAATAGTGAATTAACGCGTGGGTAAACTTACTTAAGCCCAGAATGGGGAATGTGCGTTTTGGCTCTGATAGTATTTCAGTTGTATCAAATAGTAGGCCGAGCTAAATTGTATCTTTAAATTATCAAAGATTTCATTTTCAATTTAAGAAAAATGCAAGACATAAGACAGAATAATTTTAAAAAGAATTTATGATCCAAAAATCTAATTGTAAAAACCAAATTTGCAATTTTCAAACATTTTTCTTCAAATGATAAAAGGACATCTTTGTTTTTGTTTGAATTTGAATTTGTTTTTTTTGCACTCATAAAATCGCAGCACTGACTTTCAATCCAAAAAATCCAATTCCAGAAAGAGTTTCCCAACTTCGTGATTGGCTTCGACTTGGTGGGTCAGGAGGACAAGGGCCATCCACTGAGCAAGTTCGCCGAGGAGCTCCTCAAGCTGCCCGAGCACATCAACTTCTACTTCCACGCCGGCCAAACCAACTGGTACGGGTCGCACGTGGACCAGAATCTGCTGGACGCCATCGTCCTGGGCACCAAGAGGATCAGTCACGGCTACACAATCACCAAGCATCCGATCCTGATGCGACTGGCCAAGTACCTAAACATCGCCCTGGAGGTGTGCCCGGTGTCCAACCAGGTGCTCCAACTGGGCTCCGACTACCGCAGCCATCCGGCGGCCACGCTGATCGCCGAGAATGTGCCCATGGTAGTTTCCTCCGGCAATCCGGGCTTCTGGCGAGCGGCTCCTCTGTCGCACGACTTCTACATGGCCTTCCTGGGTATCGCACCCATGACCGCCGATCTGAAGTTCCTAAAGAGGACCGCCAAGAACTCCATACGATATAGCTCCCTGAAGGACGAGGGCAAGGCAGAGGCCATGGAGAAGTGGAAGAAGGAGTGGGACAAGTGGGTTGCAAAAATTGTGGCAGAGAAGGAACAGGCTTTGGAGGATAGGAAGTAGTTTCATAAAGTATATGTATTAAAACAATAACAAAATTCCTTTTTAAAGATGGTAGTTTTAAGAAATAATTAAATTAACATTATGTATTTAAATTTATTAGACCACATTACAGTATGTATAAAATAAATGTTTTAAAAATGAATAAACCCCTTTGAAGTCGAGTTTATTTTCCAAGAAATCAAAGTGAGCTATTAGAAACATTAACAATAGACATATGACAACTTTAATAGCCTCATATGTTTACTCTTTCTCTTAATTTAAAAATCAAAACAATTTCTACTGATAAATACAATATTTGAACCATGTCTTAAGCTAAGTTCTGCAATAAGATACCCTCTACCTTTAAGGGAAAATACTTAGTATATCTATTGAAATCGTACCTGAATTTGCGCAACATTGTTAGAGGGTCCCGAAACTTTTCCACTCACGCACAGCCAAAAGCCCCAAAGTCAATGACCAATGGCAAGAAAGGGGGGGAAATGGGAAATCTTGGGGATAAACCTTGAGCTGCACTTTCCGTCGCACCGCAAATTGTTTGAGTTTCCGCTTCTTGATTATTTCAGGCAAACCAATAAGTTTCTGGCCAACTTTTTATTGCATACTTCGCTGCGGGTGATCGGAGGAGGGCGGTGGAAAAAAGGGGGCGTGGCTGGGCGAGGGGTCATGCAAATGTCACAGAAACTAACACTTCCGGTTCTTGGATGCGTGTGTATGTTTGTGCTGCTGGCACTAATTTCATTGACTTCCATTTTCCGCCCACACACATGAGAAAGTTGCCCAGGGGCGGGGAAGTTGGAAAAGTCTTCGATACGATCAAGAAAATAAACTTTCTGCCCTGACTGCCATTGCTTATAATTAAAAACTTTATTATTTGTTTAACTTTGCCCGCAGCTGTTGCACATTTGACAGACAGAGCTGGGAAAGTGTACAGGAAAATGTGGGGGGAGAAAACTTGTTTCGCAGCCACACAAGAATTACCAGCAATTATCGAAAAAGTTTTGCTTCATTTATCGCCTGAAAGTCAGTCACAATTTTCTCCTCTTTTTTTTGAATGAAGCTCCCCCGAGACAAACTACCAATACGGTTGGACAGCCATGCTTCTCAAAACTTTTTAACGATGCCAAAACACATTTATGCCCGAGAGCTCCTGACGCCGTCTAATTTGCAAATTCATGAATATAAAGTGGCCTCAAAATGGCAAACAAATTAATCAAATATGCAAATTTTCGTTTTTGCCAAACACACACACAGGCAGCGGCCATCATTATTCGCATTAAAAATATGCGTAAAAAGCAGAGATTTGCAACAAGCTGGGAACCTGTGCATCTGCCAGGTGCGCAGATCTTAACCCCAAGCTTAGGCGACTGCAATGGGGAAATGGAAAAATATTACAAACCTAATGGAAACTATAATCGGCACCCTGCTATAAACATTTTAGGAATATCTATTTTCCAAATTATTTAGTGGAAGTAAAATATGAATACAGGTTATTTCACAGCATTGATCAATCAGCTGTAACTAATGTTTTCTAATCAATTATAAACATATTATGAAAAGATTTTATTTTTAGATACTGCACTGATAAATAAAGAACGTTGTTAAGATTTCAATTTAAATATTTTTCATCCAAAGCGGTTATTAATTTTATCCGTTATTTTAAAAATGAATATATTCAATTTAGCAATTATTATTAGCTTACATTTTTTTTATTTGACATAAAATATTTAAATAGTTAATATATGTATATAATGATAGTATCATCGTATCTTATGGTTTCTAACATGTTTCAAATATTTTTAATAAACAGTAACATTTAATTGGTTTATACTAAATTCAAAAGGTTATCCGAAATTTTGAAAACAATATTTATTATTATTATTTTTTTTCAGTGCGTTATTTTTTTACTTTTTATTGGCTCCATGACTTGAAAGTAAAACTTTATGTTGCCCACAATCTCGCTGTTGGTAGAATTGGAGTCCGAGAATGTAAAACGGAATTGGAAGAAACCAAGTGGAAATGGTGGAAGTAGACCAGTTTCCAGATATGCATTTTGTACACTTAACTGACCCTGAAATCAAAAAATAATAGTAATCACTGAAGGAAAAACATCTATGGAAGACATACCGAATAGGGACATGTGTGGTTTATATTGGAATATCGTTTTAACAGCTTCCAAACCATGACGGCATAGGGTAAATAGCTCTTTTTTGCGATCACGTCGCAAAGGCCAAAGCTAACGTCAACTAGGAATGGTTGGAACTGGTTGCTATAATCCTTTTTAAAGATCTGTGCTCTAATCTGGAAAAAAATGCTGATATATACGATTGCATAAAGAAATCGAGCAGCAACTTACATGTGGATTTATCATAGTCACAGTCAAATAAGAGTCCAAGTTCGCCACCGCCAGATTCCAATTGATCGCCTTCAAACGGCAGGAAATATTTGTCACTCGCGCCGGATTTCCCTCACACTCGACTTTAATTAGCTTGTAAACTATCTGGGCCTTTGACTAGACGAAAAAATTGATATTTTATTTATACCGACTTGAAATTAGTTTATGAGGCTCACCATTTGCCACAAGAGGCAGCTGCCGAGAGCCACCTGCCACGCAAATATCATGGGTACAACTGCAATAGAGTTTTCAGTAGTTTAAGAATATATATATATATGTATCGTTAAATCGATGCTTGATCTGTTTATAAATGGTAAAAAAACATTTTTATTATACGGGTGAATACGTTTTTCAAATGAGTACTGATGGTACTAATAGCTTTTAGACCTACACTGATGAACAGTGGAGCAGAACAAATAAAATCCTGAATACTGAATTCAAAATTTGGTCATGTTTTAATTAAATTGAAAACATCAATTGCATAACTTGATTTAAAAGTATTACAATAAATGCAGAAAATATTAGATACGATTTAAGCATTTTTAGTATAATTAAAAGAGAGAACGTTATAGACTAGTGCCTTGATATTATATACCCTTAACTCAACTAACAAATTTAACTCATTAACTTATGGTTCGATTAAATCAACTTTTGTTACGTAAATAGATATGGAGCTCTACCGCTAAAGTCTTTAAACTCTCATAACCTTTTAATAAATGGTCCGATTATAACATTTTTTGAACGGGTATTAATAATCTAGTCAAATATTAACAGATATAAAAACCGTTTTTTTTTCTGATAGTAAAAAAATTAACAAACTTATGATTGCTTCGCTATTTAAGCGTTTTACACGAGAGTGGTATTTAAAAATGTCGCATTGCCGTCTTCAGTTTCCATTAAGGCAGATACACACACGAGTTTACCGATTCCTACATAGAGATAAATCATGATTTGCCATAAATCCACAAATCCTTCCTCCCAACCAATTTCTACCCAATTTCCCTGGCACTCTTTCTCTCTTCCTGTTGCATTTTGATGTCTTGCTTTGGCATCCAAAGTCCAAAATCATCATCATGATGAGGACTGGTATGGGGATTGGCACAAGGATGGTGATGAGGATGGGATGATGACCATGGAGGCATAAAGCGCAGTTAGTTTGCATACAAATGGCATTTGGAAATGTGCAAAAGGATTGCGCAAAAATCAACGCGACATGCCAAGCAGGACAAATAATGTGCATAAATTTATCCACAGATGGGTGGACCAGAGCAGCAGCCAAAGATTGGACAGATACCGGGTGGCAGAGGCAATAATAAAAAAGCAAACAAGTGCCGGTCAATATGTTGCACTGGTCATGAGGATGGGTTTTTGCGGATGATGCTCCTGATGATGATTAGATTACTGCATGTGAAAGTGGAGAAGGGCGCCATTTTATGGTAGATTTTGGATGGTCGGCAAGGAGGCAGCCACATAATATCGCTTATATCCTGGACATTAGCATTGCCAAAGGAAGGGGAGGGCATCGGTTGATGAGGTTTCCATTTCTGTCGTGTGGACCAACTGATTGGCATCGTCGCTTACACTTTTCTTGTTTGTCCAAAACAACACCCATCTCCTCAGCATTTCTGAATTGATCAAAGTATCAAGTATGCAGACAGACTGGAATGTTTCGTTATACGGATGTCGGTGAGCAGGAACGAAAGAGGGCGATTTCCATACCTTTCTGACCCTATATGTTGTCTATATTCGTGTTTTATGCTAATACATAGATCGTTGTGGTATGCATTAAAAGTGTTGGAATCCTTTGAGGGAATAAACAAGGATACATAGCATTGAATCGGGTTTGAATTCTGCCAAATATAACTGGTTTGGGATAGAGATGAAATTTTCAATTAAATAGCATTGCAGAAATGGTTGTTCGGTTGGCATGTATGACTCACTTTTCCATATTGATTGATGTTTCACAAAATAGTTCCAACGATAAATTGGTTTTCCACAACACTCCACTTTTTATTAAAGATTTTTGTTTTATTATTACAACTCATATAAAAAACGAACATTATTTAATATTTTGTCAAGTAAGAAAGTCTTTAAAAATGCTTTAATTCAGCAATTCATTGACAGCACATACATATATGTAATCCGGATATCAATTTAACAATTAATACAAATCGTTTTTACTCACAGACGACACAGTTTCCATGGCAGCCAGATGTGTGTTTGTGTGGGTGTAAATAGTTTATTGTTTAAAGGGATCAACACGACCACAAGTGCAAATTCACACGGATACAGGCAAGCAGCATAATTGCATTATATTTCAGCATTTCCCAGCAATTTGCCTTTTGGCTGCCATTGTCTGCTCCTGCTGAATAGCGCCATCTGTTGACCGGGCTAATGAACACTCCTGTAGGTTGAAGAACCCAACCCATACCCATACATATTCCAATTCCAGCTATCCAACTGCCCAGCAAATTTGCAAATCATCAAATATAATTTCTAAACAAATTACAAACGAGCAGCCGCAGCCCGAAAGTGGGAAATGCAATATCCCCAACAAATTGCACACACATTTGCATTTAACGCACTTTGAGCCCATGTTCGAGTGTGTTTTGTACATATATCTATACCGAGAACATTTACAAATTATGCTATAAATGCGTCCTCGCACAGAACACAAACACAGGCAAATACAGGGACCAAGATGATTTGCCGCTGGCATCAATTTCACAGAAGGGTTTTTGGGCAGGGCATTTGTGTTGTGTTTACCATTTGGCAATGCAGTTGCATTCCGTTTACTGAGGCCCGTTTTCCCGCCTGCTCCTGATTCTAATTCTGATTCCGATTCCGATTCGGATACGGATCCTGCTCTCCCGATTCTGACTAAATCATATGCAAATGCATGCGTATGACATTTGGGCTAGAAATTTTATTGTCCGCTCCGGTTGCTAAATTATTTAGAGCCTGATTCCTGTTGCCATGACGATCCAATTCGGGAGAGAGTGCATTAAGAAAAAAAGGGTCTAGGATAGTTAAATATAAATCATTCTCAGGAATGCAAGGTACGACCATTTTGAACTGAAGTGGAAAATGTTGTGTATTACGTATCACCAGAACTAGTTAGGATTGTCCTTTCATATTAAAAATATTATTAAAAAGATTATTCTTTAATCGCTTTTAATAATAATTTTAGTATCTAGCTTATTATATAATCTAATATAATATATAACATATTATATAATGTAGATTATTAGTTAATCGCTTTTTAATAATAATTTTAATATATAAGGACGATGGATTATGAAATTAATATGTTCCCTCTTTTAAAAAGGTATCCAAGCACTTTTATTTTTTAAACAGTAAATGAAAAAAAAAAACAAATTAAATAAGCAAAGTCAACAAAGTTAAAGTATTACCTTAGACTCATAGTTGTTTTAGAAATGCCAAAAAACTCTCAAAAAATCATTACAATTAACCCTAAAAATCAATTTTAAAAAATCAAAAATAATTATTATGCGCATTTATTGTACTTGAATTTTCCTATACAAGGCTCATTACCCAAATGATTATTGGGCTCAATTATTTTTCTCAGTGCTAAAACGACAACGGGTCATGCATTTTGAGCTCTGCCCACCACCACAGACAACCGCATAATTTATGCAAAATGCGTGTGCCAGTGCGTGTGTGTGCGTGGGCGTAACTTTGTGTGTGTTTGTGTGAGTGCCACAAATTTTAGTTGCTTTTTGGCATTGAAATTGAGCCAAGCTTTTTGGGCCTGTCTTTCAATTTGACATAAAACCTTTGCCGGATCCTTTTCGTCTCACGGATGACACTTTATGCAAAGTGCCCATCGCTCCCTTTTCCCAGCTCCCTTTTATTTTTTTTTGGTCTCCCTTTTGGGCGTATTTCACGCCCTTTTGCCGCCACACATCAAAATAAACATAAGAAAGTTTATTTTCACGTATACGTGCATATATTGCCCTTGAAGAATGTCTCCCGCAAATGAGCCACGCAAATTTTCTTTTCCCTTTTTGCAGCTCTTTTATGTGCAGCCAAGCGTGTGTAAAAAAAGCACACAAAAGTTCATTAAATTTCGAATCCTTTTTTCATATTTGACGTGGCAACAAAGGAAAGTAAAATTTCATAAAAATATATTACATGTATTTTCAAAGGATCAAAGACTAACCATAAAAAAGAATGCCAATTTAGGTAAAATATTTTACCAAATGTTATGCAGTTTTTTATTTTCTTCTAAATGCATACATTTATATTTAAAAATGATAAAGATCAAAGGAATTACTTATTATATTAGATTGATTTTTAAATATTTCCAAAATTTGAAATGTTACTCTTACTTTAACACTTAGAAAAAATATTATCAGAATTATTGGATTGGATTGAATTATTGTTATTATTAGAAACATATCTGTTTAACTTGACTACAATATTATTAAAGTACGCTTCACAGCTTTAAAGTGTCTCCTTGGAGGGCAGGATCGTTAGGGAACAACTGACGTGGAAAACCGGAACGTAAATTGCAAGAACACCGCAACTCAGCTCGTTGAGCAGATAAGCAAACAGATTTATGACTACATTTAGGGGTAAGCATTCGCAGTAAGCATTTTCCCCTCAACTTTTGACTCTGGAGGCCTTTAAAAATGCAGAAGACAACACTCAATTCGTAGCCCGTCATTCGTAATTAAAACGAACCACTCACGTACTTTTGGCAACCAGACAAACAGAGCCAACGACTGTCAAAAGTCGCCTACGACTGTCCGTCCCGCTGTCCGTCCGTTTGTCCGTCCGAATCCTCAAATTGACAGCCAGCCGGACGGTGGAGGGAGCGGGAGAGGGATATACGTATGTATATGGGGCGAAAGAGATGGGCAGGCCGGACATGGACACACAATAATTTAGTACGTAATAGACACGACCCTGCCGAACGGGAGTACGGAGTACGGAGTCCGGAGTCCAAAACCGGGAGCCGGACCATCAGACAAGTGCTAGACAGCTCCGGTTGCAGCCCTGGACTTGTTCATTAACACAAAACATAAGCCGCCAGACAGACATGTGAATGATGAAGCACGAACGGGTCGGCTAAATGGAGTGGGTGACGGCCAGATGGACAGGGATACTCCTGCAACGCGTCCATATATCATAAACAGTCGAAATAGGAATGGAAAAACTGGTAGAGTACCTTAACAATTATGTTTATTTTGTTCCCATTTTTGTAATCAAAATAAATAATAAGTATGCCTAATAGAATTTGTACCTAGATATACAAATAAATTTTAAAAAAATTTAACTAAGAAAGGAAATGAACCCAGAGAGAACCATATTAACTATTTTGATTATATTCCTTTTGTGTTAATACACTCATAATTTATAGTTGCATTACAAAAAACAGTTAGAAAATAAAATTCATTGAAAGTTAAGATCAGATATTAAAACATATTACACAAATTAAGAAATTTACTAAAAAATTTATGTATTTAATTTATTTAAAATAAAAAATTTAAATCAAATTAGAGATCTCATCTTTTTCGCATCTCACCCATATACCTTTTTCAAGTCACATCTCTAGCTGCCCACATATCATGCAACTGAACAAAAAATGGGGTTCCGTGTTTCAGGCCTTCAGACCATAGTTCAAGTGCCATTAAATCGAGTCTTGCCACTCGGGCATCTGCCAATGTGGAGAAAGGATGGTAATGGTAACAGGAATGGGAATGGAAATGGCCCTAGAAATGGGGTGAAGTGGAAGTTTGTGCAACAAATTAGTAGCAAAGTTGGCTCAGGACCCTGACTACCCCTACTCCCACTCCCACTCCATTCTTGACTCGCACTGGGCAAATATCCGACTGCGGAAATTGCAATGAGACACGTGATCATGGAGACTCCACTACATCCGCCGGCCAGACAAATAAATCTTCATTTTGACTTGAACTTTTGCTGCGGTCCGTCGGCCAAAACGAGAAGTTGGTAGCAAATTAACAGCTGTTGCGTAGCTGTGGTCCCGAGCTCAGAGCTTCCGAGCTCCCTAGCATCCGAGCTCCTGAGTTTCTGCCTTCCTGCGGCTTCTCAGGTGATTTACGGCCAAGTTGAGACTCGGCCAACGGCGTCTGCATATTAATATGTGACTTGGCATTTTACTTTCTACGCCATGGAACTTGCAATCAAATCCAACGCCTGTACTTTCCCCCAGACGCATTCCTGTTCCTTTTCCCCGGACTTTGCTCCTTGGCTCGCAGCACGTTTTATTGTTGTGCCGGCCAATTTGTGACGAGTGAGTGCATATAATAAAGCAAATTATATTTCAGATTCAAATGCTATGCAGTCGAGCGGAAGGCGTCTCAAGAGCCTGGCTAGGAGCACGGACTACGTATACGCCACGTTGTCTACTTGTCTAGTTGGCCCAACGTGACCGTGGCCTTTGAGACTGCTGGTTGCGGAAAGTATGTTACAATTATTTTCATCAAAAAACATCAAGCGAATTCCTCGTGGCACACCTCACAAAAAGGTGGATTGCGTTATGGGTTTAAAATTTAATCATTATCTTAGTTAAGATTCTTTAAATATTATTCAACTTATTGTTGACTGGATAATGCATTACATTTTAATCGGTTGTGATTTTCCTAACGAACATATAAAAAATCAATTTTTTTTTTATAACGCAGTATCATAAATTGGTTTAAGTGTTTACTTAAAAATTATTATTAAATTTATATCAATGAATATGTTTTAACTATATTAATTACAGATATTTTTGTCAAAGATAGCAATCCGAACTTATCTATTTAATTATGTATTCAAAATATTTTAATTAGAAACAATGATTTTTTCTTATTATAAATATAAATAGAACTTACTATTAGAAGTTAGTTTAGTTACTAGAAAATAAAGTATAACTAAAACGGAAAACTGAATTAGTTGTGCGGTGGGTTGCAACACAAATTTAGTGCTGCAAACTTTTATAATACCACATAATAGCATTTTTTCCCCTTTTTAAATCCCCTAATCCCCCAAGGATCT